TAGTGAACGATTAATCAAAAGATATGACGTATTCAGTGCTTAGTGTGATTGACTTTATGATTGAAGGTTACGCCCTAGAGTCTTTTTACTGCTTTGTAATTGGTTAGAGTTTTGAAAATGAATAAAGAGAGTTTGAGTTGGTCTTGAAGAGTACTCCACGATAGACGCAGTAGAGAGAGAGAGTGCAGTCGAGAGTCCAGTCCAGGGGCGAGCCTTGAGGCAGTCCAGTCTTGGGCGAGTCTTGGTTCAGCCTTGCGAGAGTCTTGGGGACACTTTTCCCCAGGGCGCTGTGTCTTATAGAGTGCTCCAAAAGATCGACTAAGACGAGAGCTGAAACGTATTTCGTTGTGTGTGCCTTATTTGACTGTAAAGCTTAAGTGACTTTCCCGATCCCGTACCTCAAGGGGACGAGATAGAGAGACGAGACGAGATTCCCCTCTGACAAGTGTGGAGAACCCGAGAAGAAGATTACCCCTGTGATACTTGTGCCTGACATATAGTACGAACAAGAATAAATTGACTCCTTCAAATATTAAGTTATTTTTTTTGGCTGTAATTTTTCTCAATACAAAAACGACATGACGAACATTGATCTGTTCACAGCTAGCGAGATTATATGTCACAATACGTGAGTGAAACATCAATACTCACCAGAATCGACGACTTCCGACACTTCCACGTTTTGTTCATGTGCCATAAATCCAAGAGTGGCAAAGACCATGAAACCAGCGTAAAAGCTGGTACCACAATTTACGAAACATACAACGAGTGAATCTCTGTAATAAACACAACTACACTAAATACAACATCACGATTACATATCAACGTGCAATTAGCCAATTTAGAAGTGAACTCTTTACTTCGGAAGAGAGGAAACCATGATCTCAAACAAAAAATACGTATTTTAGATTTATGAGTTATCGATAATTAATGAACTTATATGAAATATTAACGACATGGTTACAATATACACAAACTCATATATATTATGTATGATGCCTTACATTACTATATTGTTGCTGTACTTGTTATAACTCCCAAGTGATATAAGTGATGATATACCAACACCGAGAGAGAAAAAAATCTGTGACGCCGCATCGACCCAAACCTGAAGACAGAACAAATGCACAGGATAAGAATGTGGTGATAGTTCCTCTAGTCTTACAACAGTGCTGACGTTGATATTCTCACATTCCGACTACTCACCTGTGGATCCAACAATTTTTCCCAATCTGGAACAATGTAATAATAAATGCCCTCATCGGCGCCAGGTAATGTCGCAGATCGAATCAAGAGAATAGTTATTATAACATAGGGGAATGTAGTAGTGAACCATACAATCTGAAGAAAGTAATAGTATTCAAATATTATACATGGAGGTCAGCGTATTTACCGTACTTTCGTTGGAACTGTTTTCTTGTAACTAATAAGCCGATATAAGCATGGTCGTATGCTACAGCTCAGATTGGTAGACATTGTGAATTTATTCACAAATTAACGCATATATTTACATACTAAACAGTGACTATGAATACATTAATTATATAATTTGCAATAATTCATGTTTCATGGCATACATAATCACCTTTTTCATATAGAAGACAATTTGTGTCCTCACCTAACCTTGAAGTAGAATTTAAGCTAGTAAAGACACTTATACAATTTGAAAAATACGGTTAAGCTTTAAGATTTATGGTTTTAATGATTTTCAATCAATTTACCAAATCCTACAATCAAATAAATTACAAATCGTTGAGAATGAATATTAATGTAATTGCTTATATGGCCTCGGACGAGAAAATAGAAGCACCTTTAGCTTTCTAACTATGGCGACAGCAATTGATGTTTAGCGTAAATGTTGAGCTGTTTGGCCTGCATATCATCACAAAACTTTGTTACACGCTTGTCGGAATCAACTCACCTTTCCGGTAGTTTTGACACCTTTAACAATACAGGCATATGTCAGTAACCAGGCAACGGTGAGAGCAACCACCAAATACCATACAAGGGATCCAATATCGTGTATTCCGTCAGACATCTGCAACACAAAGTTACTGGGGCCAAAGTAAAATGATATTATTATCATGTCATAAATATGTCATTGGTTGATTTGTATTTGTAGTTGTCGAATGCACTTGAACCATAAGAATTATAATATTGTTAGCTTTTCAACGCAATTATAACTTAATTTTAGGTCACAACTTGTCAGAATCATAATTATATTTCATTTCAGTTCCGTTTCATTTCAGATTGCTAATAAATATTATAGGTGGAACTCCTAATTCAATACTATGCGTGGTAATTTAGAATTTGGTTAAAGATTTAAATCGTTTCACAGATTAATATGATCAACATGGTGAAACTACATGATGACTGGACGATTCCGACCTTAAATAGCGTAATGGCAGTGAAAACAATTATTATAGATTAGGTTCGCATCATGTGACCTTTTTATTGTAATTGTTATTTGTGATCTTCAGAGTCATTTACATGTTCACATGTAATATTTCAACATAATGTGATTAGAAAATGATTGCGGTCACACATGACTCGTCAGTCTGGCAACTATGTTTGGATGATGTGACATTATGTGTAAATTTAACGTAACTTCTTCATTAAACGAAATGACATAATGTCAACCTGAACCTGAAAATATATATTCCATTCGCCGTGTACTTATTTAAAAAATGCAATGGTCACAGCATGTTGACTGATTGTTATTGCGCTTGTCGCACAAAGAGTCCGATTTTTTTTCATATTTTTGTTTCTACAATGTATATATTTAAAACATACTTCCAAAACTGTTCCGACGGCGATTCTGAGTCAGTCATATTGATTGTAATATTGTTGTATTCTCCGGTACAGAATTGTGTTGCATTGTTGGTGGTATTATGGTATGTGTAGTCGTAACAGTAAATATCATTCCAGTAGGCGTCACATACAGTCCACGGTAACGTAGGGAAGAATGAGAAAAATAAATAGACAAGTATCCATGCGATGATAACAATGTAATAAACATTCATTATACAAGCGACTGACGCCGACGCGTAGCCAACCCCTGAAATAAAACAAAACATACAAGGTTATCAGAGTTCCTGTTAAATTAAACAAAGAAATATAATTCAAATCACAGTTTAACACTACGACAAAGACTTTTCGTTGTCGACATTGTGAAATTCTTTCGTTTTTATTGAAGAATATTTATTAAAGCTATTGCTCATACACAAGTTGTTGAGCATCCTACATATTTTGTAATTTCGTGATTTTAGTCATAATAATGCAAAAATACTTTTGAAATTGTCTTGATATATTTTTGAATTCACCTGTCAACATCAGTCCGAAAATAATGATGAATTTCACAATTTCGAAAATGGAAAGTCTTTAAAGTGTTTTATGCTATTAGATTATCCTATACTAATATACGTCTTTTAGAAAGAAGGTCAAACATACTGCAAACAAACGTTATAAAAATTTTGCCATTTCAGAAGCTAGGAAATTCCCTAAAACACAGACGAGATTATTTAGCAAATTAATCTAATTATTACAAGTACAAGACCCCACATACCATGTAAATATATATTTGTTTAGGAATTTAAAATATGTGGTCAAGTTTAAGCAGTTTGTCTAAATGGGGTTGTCGTCACGCGCATTCTGTTCTGTTAGACATATACGACGAATACAGTGAATATCAATTATATTGTTTGTTTACACAACATTCAACGGCAGCACGACGATCACCGTTATTTGCATAAGAAATGTACATGATGTCCATTTCACTCGTGTAAGGATCACGCATAGTTCGTAAATTGCGGCTAAACGATTCAGAAAAAATGGCGTAAAATCAAACCAAATGAATGTAAAACTTGTTTTTCTAGTGATACTGGTGATCTGTTATGTAAATAAAACATTTTTAGTTTATGATAAATCTCATTCCCGTATGGTCTACAGTATGGAACATCAATTTAAAAATGAAACAAAGTATTTGTACGCATTGCATCTTCAAATGGCTATAAGCGAGTTTTGGCGTTATTGGTTGGATAACACAGTCAATACATATAGAACATTTCAATCAATGTGTAAATACACCTGCCAAAATGAATACATGTACAAATGTACTCTTATCAATTATGATTCTTATTTATTCTTTGTTATATTCCTCTATTGAAGTTTTGGCTATACACATACACATACGAGTAGATATCATGAACCTACCTTTGAAGCAAGGTACGATTTGCCAAACGCTTATACCGCCCAATTGTAGATACTGTCCAAGACCAATCTCCAGATAGAACATAGGGATTCCCAAAAACACGAGACACAAGAAATATGGGATAAGAAAAGCTCCTTCAATAAAATAAAAACAATGAGAAATAATTGTACACGAGTCGTAATCAGACCAAGTAAATATGTTATTATTTCATTACACCAACTTTGCATATATTTATAACATGCATTGATTATCGCTTGAATTGGGGACTCCTCATGACCGAGACCCCAGGGAAATAATGACGGTGGTTTCATCCCATGTGTTTGAGGGAGCTCTAAAAAACAAATAACCGACAAGTGTGAGCAAATTCCCAGAACACTGCAGCTGAATGTTATTGTTGTCACTGTCTGACGTATAGTCATGTATATTCGCTTACAGAGTATGTTATTGAGTTCAAGCATTATTATTAGATGGTGCATGAAATGCGTTAAATATTCGTAATATGGGTCAAAGTTTACGAAATATAATCACATATTTCTCACATTGTCTATACATGTTTTGCTACAGTTTGTATCCAGGCAACTAGGTATGAATGACATTTCAGTTTATTAGTCAGTTATTGTATTGATGTATGACACCAGGTTTCTACTTCCCCAAATTAAAACCAAGTGTAGAATTAGATGTTTATGCCAAGATGGGTTCACCAATATATTCCATTCATAATTCCGATGAGTGCAAATTTTGCATCATTTGACAATTTTACTAATTCACATAAAGTCAAGTAGCCGCCACAGAAACACACAGGCAAAATGCATGGTGACCATGTTTTTACATCTTTTAATCTTTTTAAACGACTATGGTACTGTTGAATTTCATAATTTTGCATTAATCGAAGATGGCGACCGTATTACTCGTAAAACAAACATAACTTCATATTCGTCCCGTTTCCAAACCCTTAATTTAAAATGATGGTCTACTAAATGTTTTTTTCGAAGATTTTTGTATCTCATATTTCTGCTGATAATCTGCAAGATGACAAGTTTGGGGATTTTTTCATATTCAAGATTGTTGTCAAAATGGCTTAGTAAATCTATATAAGGAATATCTTGGTTTCCACACAAAAATTCATGACGAAATTATACAAATTTCACCAAATCCCCAAGTTTTTGCCCATTTGAATATCGAATAAGAGGTTGATGTTTAAAGCCATATGTATTTGTACACTTTTCTGTTCTGACAATCTGAATAATTTGGTCCACGTTGGAAAGCTCCGATCTCATATATGTTAGTACTTTATTAGATTGTATATGTAGTCACTCTGACAGAAACGACGTCAACAAGTTTTCGCGTCGTAATTGTGATAATTGTGATATGGTTCAACTTATGTCGCCTTGCACAAAACATACAGTCATACTTAGTTCCATATCTTTTCCAAAACATCTATATCCAATGGGAAATTATGTCTATATGGCCCAAAAACAAAATGAAAAATGGTGGCACAGTACCACATCACCATAACATTATTGATTAGTTGCCATGACAACAACAAATTCTAGCCTTGAACTAAATTGTTCTAGATATTGTACACATGCTGTCTATGTTTGTTTTAT